TTCCTGGGGGTTGGGAAGGGTTTGGGGATGGGAATTTCCTGGGAATTCCCGGAGTTCTGGGGGGGTTCTGGAATTCCTGGGGGTTGGGAAGGGTTTGGAGATGGGAATTCCACCGGAATTCCGGGAATTCCCGGAGTTCTGAGGGGGTTTGGGGATGGGAATTCTGGGAATTCCCGGAGTTCTGGGAGGGTTTGGGAATTCCTGGAGGTTGGGAAGGGTTTGGGGATGGGAATTTCCTGGGAATTCCGGGAATTCCTGGAGTTCTGGGAGGGGTTGGGAATTCCTGGAGGTTGGAAAGGGTTTGGAGATGGGAATTTTGTGGGAATTCTGAGAATTCCTGGAGGTTGGGAAGGGGTTGGGGATGGGAATTCCACCGGAATTCTGGGAATTCCCGGAGTTCTGGGGGGGTTTTGGGAATTTCTGGGGGTTGGGAAGGGTTTGGGGATGGGAATTTCCTGGGAATTCCCAGATTTCCCAGATTTCCCCCAGAATGCCCAGATTTTCCCATGTTTTTCCCAGAATTCCAGAATTTTCCCCCCAAATTTCCTCCAGAATTCCCAGAATTCTCCCCAGAATTCCCAGATTTCTCCCTAGAATTCCCAGATTTTCCTCAGAATTCCCAGATTTCCCTCAGAATTCCCAGAATTCCCAGAATTCCCAGAATTCTCCCCAGAATTCCCAGATTTCTCCCTAGAATTCCCAGATTTCCCTCAGAATTCCCAGATTTCCCCCAGAATTCCCAGATTTCCCTCAGAATTCCCAGATTTCCCTTAGAATTCCCAGATTTCCCCCAGAATTCCCAGATTTCTCTCTCCATTCCCGTTTTTCCCAGCTGCCGTTCCCGTTCCGGGCCCTGATCCTGTTTTCCATGGGTTCCGTTATCCGGAGCCATTCCCAGAATTCCCAGAATTCCCAGATTTCCCCCCAGAATTCCCAGAACCCCCAGAACCCCAGAATTCCCAGAACCCCCAGAATTCCCAGAATTCCCAGATTTCCCCCAGAATCCCCAGATTCTCCCCAGATTTTCCTCAGAATCCCCAGAATTTCCAGGTTTTTTCCCAGATTTCCCCCCAGAATTCCCAGAATTCCCAGAATTCCCCCAGAATTCCCAGATTTCTGTCTCCATTCCCAGCTGCCGTTCCCGTTCCGGGCCCTGATCCTGTTTTCCATGGGTTCCGTTATCCGGAGCCATTCCCAGAATTCCCAGAATTCCCAGAATTCCCAGAATTCCCAGATTTCTCTCTCCATTCCCAGCTGCCGTTCCCATTCCAGGCCCTGATCCTGTTTTCCATGGGTTCCGTTATCCAGAGCCATTCCCAGAATTCCCAGAATCCCAGAATTCCCCAGAATTCCCAGAATTCCCAGAATTCCCAGATTTCTCTCTCCATTCCCAGCTGCCGTTCCCGTTCCGGGCCCTGATCCTGTTTTCCATGGGTTCCGTTATCCGGAGCCATTCCCAGAATTCCCAGAATTCTCCCAGAATTCCCGGATTTCTCTCTCCATTCCCAGCTGCCGTTCCCGTTCCGGGCCCTGATCCTGTTTTCCATGGGTTCCGTTATCCGGAGCCATTCCCAGAATTCCCAGATTTTTCCCGTTTTTCCCAGCTGCCGTTCCCGTTCCGGGCCCTGATCCTGTTTTCCATGGGTTCCGTTATCCGGAGCCACCTCCGGGATCTCGGGAAGGGCTCGGCCGCCGCCGCCGC